TTTCTGTCTTACATTCACACAATCCAGGCCGTTTAGATAAAGTAAACAATCGTAGGGACTTGAATGAAGTAAACTCTCTAAAGCCCTTTTATTTATTAAAAATGAATTTAAAGAAAAATATAAGAATATTTTTGAAACTAGAATAAAAACTTTTGATGAAAACAGTAAACTCAAATGTTTTACTAAATTAAGAATTAGTAGTCATAATTTAGAAATAGAAAATAGTGGATAATATAAAATTCCTAGAAAGGATAGAATATGTAAACTTTGCCACTTGCTTGAGGATGAAGAACACTTCCTCCTTGATTGTAAAAGTAACAAAATAACTAAGAGATGAATAAAGGCAACAGTAGTATACCGCTGTTTGAAATTCATAAATCGATTGAGAAAAAAACAAATCCGGGTTACAAACTAAAACTGAGGGAAAAACATCAAATATAAGAGGAGAACTACGACACAACAGAAACACAACATTAAAATGTAACACACACAGGAACGAACTATAATATAACAGTGGCCATTTTCCTGACTTGGTACAGGACATTTTAAGAAAAAAATGGTGGGTTGAACCTGGTTTTGTGGCTAGCCAAACCTCTCGCTTTTATGGCAATGTTAAATATAACATTAAAATGACAACATTACATGACAGGACTACAATACAAATAAATGGGAGAACTTATAGGACAGAAAAAAATACGAATAATAGCTAACAAAAGGTACCAGGTTTAAAATTTAAGACGCGCGTTTCGTCCACACAAGACTAACCAGTGACGCTCAGATCAAAAAAGTTCGAAAGCCAAAACAAATACAAAGTTGAAGAGCATTGAGGACCAAAATTTCCAAAAAGTTGTGCCAAATACGGCTAAGATTATATGTCTGGGATAAGAAAATCCTTAGTATTTAGAACAATTCATACTTTTACAAACAGTAAATTTATACAAATGACTATATAATAGATATACATGATAACACCGAAGTGGTGACTAACTACAGAATAAAAACGAATATATAAAACAACATAAACCAGCACATGAATATTCACAGCCGAGTTAGCCAAAGAGATCAACGCAAAAAAAGGGGTGACGTCACATTTGAATTTCTGAAATTTCCCCTAAATAGGATAGAATTAGGATAGAATTCAAGATTTGGTTTAAAATACTCATATAACATTTATTAATAACAATGAAAATTACAATACTAATTAATATAAAATGTGGTAGTAATTAGATAATTAATAGTATTATCTAGCTATGTCGGTGTTTCTTCTAAATCAAACTGTAAACCAAATATATTGTATAAATTTAGTTGACCCAAACTAAAATCTAATTAATGAACTGGGTGATTAATTATCTTTACCATAACACACGAATACAACAGAAAAAAAAATAAGATTTACAACTACAAACGATAAGACATATGACAAAATCCGATGAGAATAACAAATATAACATCAAAACTAAATACATGAATCTATTTGAAAATTGTTTACCTTCTCATAATAATGCCAAGTACAAAAAGTAAAAGAAATGCTAAACCTCTCTAACATGGAACATGTTTAAAATATTGGATCTTTTATAAAGCAGTCATTTATAGAACTGAGGGCAAAAACCTTATATTTTTTTTCCATGTGTTCATTTCTTATAGAATTATTATTGCTTTGCGTTATAATGTTTGGTTTTGGGTTTTTTTGTTGTTGTTTATATGACAATAAAGATATTATCAAATTTTGCTGTAATGAATATTTTGGATATTTTATTCAATAGAGAGAGAATGAACTGCCTACATTTTATTTAGAATAAGTCCTACTAAAGTTAATCTTAAACATTTGTTAAACAATGTTGAATGAAGATCAGTATCTCTAAGTCTAAACAATTTTGATTTTAGAAAATTAATTTGAGAAACGCCTTTTTTAATAGAAAAAGGCAGGTTTGCAATATATATTAGAAGAAGAGATTCATTTATTCTTCACTAGCCAAAAAATACATGTAAAAAATAACTTAAATTGAGAAAATTATTTAAAAGGTATAACAGCAAAACAAACAGTCACGGCAGTATAAGCTACATATAAAAGCTGAGGTCATGAGACAATTTTTCAAAAAAATATTAGTTTTATTATTTCATTTTATTTTATAGATTTTTCTTGCCATAATCACAGTAATAAAATTTGACAAACACATATATTTTACCTGAGATACTTGAGCTGTAAGTTATATAATTTTATCACTTAAATGCAATCATGATTTCCCTTTACCCTTGACTATTTTTTTATTAATACCTTGTGTATTAATTAAGCAACAGGGGGTATAATGTTGGACATATAGGGCCATCATGGTGGACATAGTTTTTTTTGGCCACCATTATTAAGAGAATGTCACAGGTAGTACTGTATATGCCCGCATCCATGTAGTCAAACCTACATGGGGATCTTTCCATGTCTGGAATTGGACAACAGTTGTTATATTTCGTTGGAGACTTAAACTCGTGGATAAAACCATCCACGAAAACCACAAAAATTGGTACCCCACGAATAAAAGTACTTTCACAGTATATATCTCCCAGTTGATACGATATTCCAGGGCTTGTATTTTCTATCATGATTTCCTTGATAGAGGGTTGCTGCTCACAAGAAAGCTATTAAACCAAGAGTTCCAAGTGGTGAAGTTGAAATCTTCCCTTCGTACATTTTACGGACGCCATCACGAGTTGGTTTACCGAAATGAAAAATGAGTTTCACAGATGACAACGGATATGTTCCAATCGCCGTAACTACACTCCCGTCTCCTTTTCCCTGAATGTGTCCTACCGAATTAGACTTATCACCGGGTTTGTACTAGCATGAGCAACACGACGGGTGCCACATATGGAGCGGGATCTGCTTACCCTTCCGAAGCACCTGAGATCACTCCCAATTTTTGGTGGGGTTTGTGTTGCTCAGTCTTTGGTTTCTATGTTGTGTTTTGTGTACTGTTGTTTGTCTGTTTGTCTTTTTCTTTATTAGACATGGCGTTGTCAGTTTATTTTCGACTTATGAGTTTGAATGTCCCTTTGGTATCCTTCTTCTCTCTTTTTCCATTTGTTCATTTCTTAATGTTCTCCATGGCAACACTTTTATACCAAATCGCGCACCGTGGTACGGTGGCTTTTGAGAAAGATTGGTATGAATTAAAAAAGATTGTGTCAAGATAGTTTTCGGACGTTCCCTTATCAACTCAGAACTTCTTAAGACAATTGTGACTGAAGTTGAAACTATTCTGAACGACCGTCCGTTAACTTACGTCTCATCAGAACTTTTAGATGAACCGCTTGCGCCATCACATTTACTTTACGGAAGTAGGATCACAACACTATCATACCCTGATAATAGAGACTTTGTACATTCGACGTATGAGATGACCCGTAATAAAATAATTTTGTTGTTAGGAGTACAGTAGTATTTTTTACAAAATAAACTTGTTATTCATAGTACGAGTACAGAAGCGAATTTTTTTTTCATCATACTAAATACTTACCAAAGGTGGTACATATTAAAAATAGTAAGACGAGATATAACACAAAAGAGGTAAACATTGAATAACAGAAATGCATTGCAAATTGTGTGAACAGGCCAAATTAACACGAAAGTACGATTTGAGAGTACTCGCAGTTACTGAAAGCTAGTTAAAAACCAAAGACAGTTAATAATAAAAAATCATGCATCAGAGACTAAAATCAGTTAAAACACATCCCAGGCGGGATTTAGTGTTTTAACGCCATGGACAGTCAAAGAAGACATGACTTGTGCAATGCCAAAATAACAGTAACGACAGGCTGTAGGATAGTTAGGATTTAACCTTTTAATAAATATGTATGATTTTATATATAGATAAAACAATTTCTAAATAGAAAATAAATAAATGTGGATGTGTATATATACATCCAAAAAATAACATTCGTAAATAATACAAATTTAGTTATGTTTTAATTTGTTGATGACAAAATCGATGTTAGTGCCAATGAAAACAATATACAAAGATCGTATTGCAACATTAATAAGATAACCTTTACTAATAAGTTTGTTTAAAGGTTCGATAAGTTTACACGGATCACATAATGATTTCCTCGCTTTCAGTACAATATTATCGTAAAATTTAGGATGTGAAATACCATTTTTAATAAGTTTTCTACAGGTACAGCCAAATTTACTACTAGTAATCAAATCTTTGTATCTATGAAAGAATTTAGTAAATACTAAATGTTTTAAGTAATTTATGGTAACGAAATCCCTGACTTAATAATTTACCAGTGATACATTGATTACGTTCGTTAAAATCTATGACATCACTACTGTACACACACGGGCATAACGATCGAGTTGGGATTTTTTTTCTATATCTGTACATACGGCGTATTTATTCATGCGGAATCTTAAAAAGTATTGCGGTTACATCATTCAACTTGTGTGGCAATGATACAATTATGGATTGACAGGGATACGTTGCAAATATTATAAATATTGTAGAATAAGTTATAACTATTTTTGATGTTCTTTGGACAGATAGGAAACAAACTAAGTCTAATTTATTCGACAATCATCCGTAATGGGCGGTTTAGTTGAACATTTTATATGATGCTCCTACTGCAATATAACATTAACGATAGCAATTGTATTGCACCAGATGCTCATTCCGACAAATAATGTCTCTTAACTGATATGAAATTGCAAATAAACTTTGAGTAAATACTAACATTTATGAGAGTAATTCATCTATATGGACAATGCTAAAGAATTTCAAATAGACATTTCACGAGAAAATTGTGACAATTGTAGTATAAAATATATTAAAAAGTTCAACCAACGTTGCAAAAAAGCTTAAAATACATTAAATTTATACGATTGTCCTCGAGAATACACGATAACATATTTCCGCATTTGAATAGGCCTTGTTGTGCTTTAGAGTGGTTTCAATATGCAATTTCCGATAAATTCATGTGTTAAAATATTTCCTTATATTTAGCAAAACTAAAATGGTACATTTCGTTCCACATCGATGGAGATTTTGGTACATTTTTATTTCACTTTCATTCTAATTGTTTTGGATATTGGATACACATTTAGCAGTGGTAAGGATTATTTGCACAGGGAACCTTCAAGTGTTCTTTAAGACAACCTGTTTAACAGTTTTAATGCATGGCGTTGTCATTTTATTTTCGACTATTGAGTTTGAATGTCCCTTTGGTATTCTTCGCCTCTCTTTTATAAGTTTTAGAAATGCATGTTGTAAACTTTTAAGAAAGAGGTATTGTAAAACGTTATTTCTTTTTTTTCCCATCTTTGCGAATTATAAGAAATGGTTTTAATTAGATAAAATAAAATATAACAATGCACGCACCGTAATGATAATTACATTGATACTGAGTACTTGAAATATATAAAATTGACTGAATACCTAGCATTTATCTCTATAGTTTTGTCTATTCTTTTTCTTAGCGTTTTTTTTTCGATGTTTGCCATGATATTGTCAGTTCGCCTCTCTTTTGTTGCAATGTTACATCACCATCATTAAGCCATCATCATAAGATGTGGTTTAAAAAGTGCAGCATGTTGGAAAATTCCTTTCGTTTTCTTATCTAAATAGATATTTTTTTTTAAATATTTTAATCTCAAATTTTTTTTTCTATTTCCCTGAATATTTGTTTGCCAATAATCTCGGGAATATGTGTTGTTTTTATGATTATAACAAACACATTTGTTTTTGTTATTTGGATTTTAAAGAATTAGCAATTTAATTTTTAGATTTCGAAGATTATAGTTTGAAGTCACAATATTACTGTTAAAATTTAGAAACTTGTGATGTAAACAGTTTCATGTTTTACTTATGAAGTCTTAAAAAATAAAATTCAATCAAAATTATGAACAAAATCAATATATCTTTCTGGGTATTTTTTTTTTCTTGTTAAGTTTATTGAAACGAGTGCAAAGAAACTTTGTATTGGATTTTTCCTTGTCAACTTTGAATATTTAAAAGATAAAATAAACAGAAATTACAATTCGTTAGTTAAACTAAAAACTAACTTTATGTTACAAAAAGGAAGCACTATATTTTCTTAATTAGATTTATTGACATTCTTATATTCATTCTGTAACAAATAAAAAATAATTACGTAGCATAAACACACTAATAAATTCTGATGCAGATCCCCTTTCATCAGATGACTTGAGCTTTCTGCTTACATGTATCGAACATTTCACTCAAGACTTCCATTTATGGTGACTGTAGTTCTCATAGCACATTTTTGTCTAAAATGAATTCCTGAACCTTTTATTAGATTGTGTCTTCTGGTTAATTCCATGTTTTTGGCAATGTTAAGTTTTCAACCTGAACGTCAAATTGTCTCTCGATTGAAAAATTAACTATTTAAAAGAGAGAAGAAAGCTACCAAAGGGACATTCAAACTCATAAGTTGAAAATAAACTGAAAACGCCATGGCTTAAAAAAATTACCAAAAAGACAAACAGTACACAAAACACAGCATAGAAAATTAAAGAAAAACTGGGGGTGATCTCAGGTGCTTCGGAAGAGTAAGCAGATCCTTCTCCACATGTGGCACCCGTCGTGTTGCTCATGTAAGTAATAAGTCTAATTCGGTAGGTCACATTCGGGAAAAGAGGACTGAATTGTGGTTACGACAATTGGAACATATCTGTCGTCATCTGTGAAACAGATATTCTATAACGTTAAACCAACTGGTGATGGCGTCCGTAAAATTTGCGAAGGGATTTTTTTTCAACTTCATCATTTGGACTCTTGGTTTTATAGCTTCCTTGTGAGCAGCAACCTTCTATCAAGGAAATCATGATAGGAAATACAAGCCCTGGAATATCGTATCAACTGGGAGATATATACTCCGTATTCAGACTCTGCTTGAATGTTGCTACATAGAAAGGAAAGTTCACAATTGGGAAGCTGAAATCATCTCTTTTGTCGTAAAGTTTTGTTTTCAACAGACCCTCATTTTCAATTTCTAGATGTAAGTCAAGATATGAGGCAGACTTAACTGTATCCGCTGTATCCTTTATCTCAAGTTCGATCGGATAGATGCGTCCAACATAGTCACCACATTTTGAATTATTTAGTAAGAGAACATCATCTTTATAGCGGAAAGTAAAGTTAAACGATAGTGCTAACTTCTTTCCTTCTTCCTAAGAGGCTCCTGTGTAAAGTATTCTATCAAAATAGTTGCTTTTGACTCGTTTTGCATTTGATATTTGAAGCTCTCAATTATGTCATTACTTACAGAATCGTATTCTTTGTGATATACGTAAGTAAGTTTTTTGTTCGCTGCCTTTTCTTTCTTTCCAAAGAGTGTTCTTAAAAATATTTTTTTGTAAATAGTGTTCCATTCCGTTGGTTGATAACGTTTGATTTTGTCAGTTCTTATTTACTTCCCCTTTTTGAATTTACCCTGGAGTTCGGTATTTTTGTTATACTTTTTTTAAACGATTGTTTAATTACAAGTATTCGTCTTCTTTTTTTTTATATGTGTTTTCCATCTACATTCTTATTGTTTTTGACTGACCCCTTTCTAAATAAAATCAATATATTATAAATTTGGTACGTTCGAAACGCTTTTCTGGAGTAACCTTCACCAGAACGACAAAACTAAAATAATTGAAGCACTCGGTGTATAAATATTTGTGTAGCTATATGACTAAAAGGAAGTTTACATGAATAGCCATACCTTTATGCGATCAACTTTACCTAATAGAATTAGAACCTATAATTAGTTTCTTAATAATTTCTTATCAACGGACAATCCAGGAAGTGCCTGTTATAGATTGTGTCAATGACGAAACACATACTACTGGTGTGTTGATGCCCTCGGGAACTAACAGTTCATCAGCAGCAGTATCGACCCAGTGCTAATAAATTGAAATGACATTTTCCTTTTCTTTCCGAAGCTCTTTTCTGAATTTACCTTTATCATGAACGTATATATATATATATATATATGTCTATATTTTACGCGACTTTGATACTTTTCTAATTGTGTTTGTTAGTTCGGGATGAAAGGCTTTATTATATCAGTATGTTTTTAATGATTTTCGATTCATTGGATGTTCATGAATCCCCTTAACCGCCTTAATATTCATTTTGATTAAATGGCCCTTTATCCATGAGAACAGTTGTGATGTGCCATGGATGCATATGAAACAATAAACAAAAGGATCCTACAACTTTTAAACCCGATGTTACTCAATTCACAATTTTTATGGTCAACTTCACGAACTGGTTGACCACGACGATTTGTCTAAGATCCTTCTCACGAGAGTAATCACGACATTAAGACTTAAGATGATAGTCGAATGAGGCATGTTTTCGTATGACAGATGATTTATGGATTGTAGGAGACGCTTAACCTGTCGACAAACACGTCTTAATTCTTTTGAAGTTGTTTTCACTTGGTTGGCATTTGTATATTCAACAATCGTTTAAATAAGTTCTCTATGCTAATGAAATGACCTGAGAGTTCTTTAAACCACGATTCTTAACTTTATAAATTGCTTGTTATGTGTTATTTTACATTGTAGATCACATTATGAAAGTTGAAATATGTACACTCCGATGAATCCCACATCTTATTTCTCAGGCCATTAAATTCAAAGGCTGTAAAAAGTGTTCTTTCCAGAATAAAATCGATGTGGTCTTTTTTTTTTAATAAGAACGATCTTTATTAAGATAAATCAAGTTCTAATATTGTTTCATCCACATAACGGCTATTATTTCAAGATTTACAAGCTATACTTTTTTGTTCAATCGACCTTACTGAAAATAATAGTGCTTTGCATACGTTTTGGTAGTGACTGCAGTAAAAATGTACACAACGTAGACGCTAATGATTTAATTTCACCTGGATATTATTGTTCAGAACCTAATGATATTAATATATATCTATTTACAACGTATTGTATACTTTGTGGTAAATATAAGTAACAATATAAATATAAGTGACAATCGTCACGCGAGGAAAAGTTTTATTCCGGGTATTTTTAATGCAAGTGTGCTTTATGCACAGTCAAATTGCATTGACCGTCAAAATTGTGCTCTTAAACATTAATAACATTAGCGGTACCAATTTTTATGCACCAGATGCGCATTTCGACAATGAATGTCTCTTCAATGATGCTCGAGGTCAAAATATTTGAAAATCCAAAGCTTATGAAAAGATGAAGAGCTATAAACCACAAAAGACAAAAAAGTATAGCCAAAGCCGGGCAAGGATTCAGAGCTTAGCATACCATTTAAGATTTACATTCACGTATAACGCCTTGTTTGTCACATTGGTAAGGTTTTTATTAAAGGAGTTTTATTTATGACGTCAATAAAGAATACAAATTTGCAAAATTATAACGTCGTCTGCATGAAATTCAAAATTGAAGTTTTTTACCCCAAACTTCATTTGGACTGTTGTAAGAGTTGCAGAATATAGAGAACAATACGCTGTCTCAAAATATGAATTATGTGTATAATAAAGTGTATTTAATATGGCTCTAACAATATCAACCGCATCAACCCTAAACCAATATAATCCCTCGAGCATATCTCGGGTTGATACGGATGTATTTTGGAACAATCCATATAATATATTCATATATTTGAATATAAAAGAATGTTATACTGGTGTATAAGTTTGCTTGAGAATAATGTGATTAAACCATAAAAAATGAAATATGTTCACAAGAAAGAAGATAGGCGTCCACTGGCAATCAAATATATAATACACACTTATATCTGGACATTGAAATGTGAATGGATCAACAGATAACAAAATATCTGAATATAGAAAAAAAAAACAAAAAAAAAGAAAATAACAGAGAGAGAAGGTAGCATTATAAGAGGTCAGATATCAAGAACAAATTGTAAAGGAAAACCTCTCCAAAAAATCTTTTGCAACCAAACAATTTAGATTTTAGCACTCTTTCAATTAATTTTTTTTTCCAGGTAGCCAGAATGATTCAACAACAGGTAATTATTCGTAATTTGAATTTAAATTATGGCTTGGAAATTTAAACATGTCTTCTTTACATTACGTTTTGAACGAAAGAAACAATGATATATTTTGCATGCTTAACTACAAGATCGAAACGGTATCTTCATATTTGCCCGAATTACCCGGATATTGTAACTCGCAGACAGAATAACAACGTTTTAAATGTTATTCAGGTCCAAACCTTATGTAAGGCATTTGCTGATATTAAACATAACCTTATCTATATAATTCACATAACCAAGTACGGTAATATATTTAAACAGGACGCTTAATTTCAAAGTAATCGAAAAAGTAAAAAATGTTTTCAAGTATGTAATAAAAAATTCCCAGAAATAACCATGTGCAAAGGAGTACCTAGTAAAATACTTCCCCATGAAAGCAAAGTCTCAGTAAATCCATATTTAGAACTTTTGTGTAAGGGCTCACAGCCAGTGCTGTAGTGACGTCACAACCGAAAGTACCGCGTATCACGATAGAATCTTTTTGAATCATTGTCACGCTGTCAACAGTAAATTAAGGTGTTATTTGATCGTTCATTAAAACATAACGACGATGCGTGTAGATTAAGAGTTGATGTGTCACCTAGTGTAAGTGTCCCTGAATACATCTTTGTTTATTGTATTTGAGAATGCATTATCATTTCTTCATGTGAAAGTTGTAGAATCAAAGAAATCACTACATTTGCCGAATTGCATTAAATATACCCGTCGATTCATTACAAATGTTAAATGTAAAAGATTAATAAATCAAAAATAGAAAAGTGCCAATTTTTATTAGGTCTAAAAAATATAACATATACAGTGATCATACTGCGTTTGTCTCATTAGGAAGCTAATGTATAGATGTTAGTTTAAAAAATGTCAATGTATAAATAGCAAATTCTAAATATAAGACACTAGTACCGTAACGACCAACCGTTTTGTGATGGCGACTATATAATATGTGATGTGTAGACTGTAGATTGCAGTTGATCTATCTCATAGCCTTTCTTGGGTAGTTGTTTATTCAGGTGTATACCTGTGTTAAGGAATCGTTATTATGACAACATCAACTTCAACACATAAAACAATTGGTTAGGGCAGACGGTATGGTACGCAATAATAGATAATTAGCGTTTTCCCTTCATTCTAGTTGTGAGTCATTTCAATCTTAGCGGCAGTACTTAAAACTTTTGACAAACCGTACAATAATTTTCTATGTACATATATATGAATTGTAGGTATTGAAGGTTTGATGGTTGCGAGGAGGGTGACCGTATTCGGTTTTGACTGTTATGTTTAGGTGCTTTAAGTTTTTATGCGTAAATGTTTGATGTGTTTCATATTTTTATATCACATGTCATGCGTTTTTTCCTGAATTGAAACATTCTGGTGCATTATTTTAAAGCATATCTATTCAAATGACATCATCAATGGGTTCCTGATCATGTATATTTATGGGTATATGTCAATCTAAGTCATAATAAAAAAAAAACTCCAATCCCTTTGTTAGTATTTATTGTTATCGAACTGGTCCGACTGGTCTATGTGCTGTTTTCTCATTTGTCTTATTCAATCCTATTAACACATGGTTTTTATTTTATATCGCATATATTCGTAGAATTCTGATTCATGTACCGACACGTAAGGTATAAAATTTTAGCTATTTGATAAACTTTTGTAATTGTCCAGAAAAATTAATCATTTTATCTGGCTTCATAAATACTCGACATAAGCAACAGTAGTTAACCGATGTTCAAATCTCACAAATCGATTTAGAAGACAAATCAAGGTAACAAACAAATACGAAGGGAATTGCAAAAGGAACGAGAACGGGTGCGTCAACAGGGTAAGCTTTTCCTGTGATACACACACCACCCGCCGTGGGAATTCACACTCAGCAAAAATGTCAAATCTTTGAATGTCACAATGACGAATGTGTCATAATCTTTGAAATTACAGATTAGATGACTATTCTAGTCTTTTAAAAATATAAAAACCGCGAAAACATGTCACTAGTGACTTAAAACATAGACACGTCGTATTGCTCAATCAAATTTTGATGGTGACTGTAAAACCTATGAAGTGTCGATATCAGTCGTATTCCTCATAACATTGTGAGGGCAGTTTTTGTGTCAGGACCAAACCCTTGTCAATGAAGGTCCTACACCCCGAACATGCAAGAGCGTACTTATTAATTGAGATATGTAAACGCCATACAGATGGACATATGTATGTTACTGACAATTGGAAAGTTAAAATCATCACGTTTGTCATAGATACTAGTTTGAAGTCGTCTATATGTATCAATATCCAAAAAAGATTAAGATATGAATAAGGTAAAATAACAAAAAAAAACGAACTCTTAGGAAAATTCAAATCGGAAATTCCGTTATCAAATGGCAAGATCAAAAGCTCAAACACATCAAACCAATCGAAAACAACTGTCATATCCCTGACTTTGTAAGGTATACCCTTATGTAGAAAATGACGGACTCAACCTGGTTTTATAGCTAGCTAAACCTCTCACTTGTATGACAGTCGCATAAAATTCCATTATATTGACAACAATGTGTGAACAAAACAAACAGACATAATAGTTTAAATGTCAAAAATAGGGGTACAGCAGTCAATATTGTGTTATAATCTTAATCACTATAAAAGCAAAGAAATATATCAAAGAAATACAAAATGGCATATAGACAAAGCACTAAAGCAAAAATGAAAGACAAGAATACAAAAAATTATCACAGCATAACAACACATTGGTGGGATACATAAGTACCGAGCCACGCCAAAAGGATATTACCAAAAATGGACTAAACAGTAAAGGTTAATAATTTACAAAGAAAAATAAAAGAACACTATAACACGTTATTAAGATGATAAACAACGTCAGTACCTAGAATATATACTTCAAAGCTATCAGTAACTTCGAGTATATCCCATATGCAGGTAAAGTTGGTATATTGCTACTGTATATGACCTTCTCGTTTCTGTAGTATCCTTACAAATCTCAAGTTCAATGGGATATATCAGATGCAATTAATCACTGAAATGTGGGTTTTTGAGTGACTGGACATTATCAATGTATCTATATTATTTACTATCTAATAGCGAAATTTAAGACCTTGTAAGATGCCTTTATGTGTCTCCGAGAAGGCACTGTATAAATTTTGCTTCATATGTGCACAAAAACAAGACATCCAGTAAGAGTACACCGTTAGTTTCCACTGGAAATACTGACTGTCTGTTGTATCTACGATTCCCAATTTTTGTAGATAAAGCTCAGTTTTTCTATAAGATTTATAGGGTTAGTACTTTTTTGTGAACTGATTATATTCTAAGTTCTCCTAATTACCTTTTATCAATTTGATCGAGAATAAGAAGGAAAGGATAAGTGCTGAAATAACTACATTAAAGATTCTTGAAAAGTCTCAATGTCTCCTCCAAAAGCCCAAACACAATCATTTCAGATCATTTCACATTTGCAAAAATATCAAAACTAGTATTTTAATCTTACACTGTTCATGTTCACATTATATGGACATCATTAACAAAGATGTACTTCCCACGCAAAAACTGCTCCAACAAAGTTTTTAAGAAGTAAGAATTAGATTGACGCTGCATAAGTTTCACGTTCACCATCAGAAATTAGTTGACCTATACAATATGTCAGTGTTTCAACTCACAAGCGGCATGATTTCTCGGTCTTAGATCTTTTAATATCTGAATGGTCGTCTGATCTGTTCATGATGATTGTTTCTCATATTCCCGATTGTGACATTTTGACTTGGGTTTATACGATAGTGAGTATTGCATACATAGCAGTAGATTCTTATCCTGTCAACGCGCCCTGGCTCGTCCTTTTTGGAGTTTATATGATTCCTTCAGGGTTTTTTTTATATCTTGATTTTATTTGCGATATCTAAACATCGGTAAACTACTAGTCGGATCAAAATGTACCCCCCCCCCTCCTCCTTATCCTCCTTCGTTTCAGTCTTTGATTTGAGATAACTCTATGTTGCTTTTTTCTTTGTTTACCTGTAAGAATAAAAGGAGAGGTGTGGTAATCGTCAATGATTCACTTAATCAACCATAAAAATAGACAAAAGACATTTAGAGGCCAACAAAGGCTCGATGTTTACTGTAAACTAACTTATTGTTGCGGATACTTTATTTCGGGTTTAGCCCTTCGTTCCTTTGTTGTAGAATGAAATCTTTTTCTTATAGATTTCAATCCAGTTAAATGAATAAATCCCCATATAAATTTCATAATTACACATAATTAGTGATGATATAGAATCATCATTCGACTTGCACATAGACACATCGTAATACCGGCTGTCACTAGGGCAGATACAATATGATATGTGGCCCAATTGCCATTAAAACATTTTATTTTGTTATAGTGTACAGCAAATTGATGTAATACAATCGGTTATGCAATCCTGTACTACAAATGTGAAACCTATTGAATCAGCAGTACAGATAGCCGGTATTAGGGTGTGATATATGCTTGGTGTGTGTTATTGGGACACCAGTCAATAATATTGCTCTGGCGCCAGAATATACTTTCCATTACCGTATAGGAATGAGAAGATGTCGGATGATTGCCAATGAGACAACTATCAACCAGAGCATAAATGACGTAGATGTAGGCATACATAGGTCACAACACTGCCTTCAACAATCTGCAAAACCCAAACCGTCGGAAAGTAAGCTATAAAAACACTGATGCTAAGTTTATCCACAGCACTTCTGTGTTGTCATGAATTATCATGGATAAGGTCAGAATTATAAATTAACTGTTTGAATTTTTCTATATATTAAGGTTTTCTACCCAAGGAATAGACTTACTTAGTTGTATTTGGCAAAACCTTTCGGAATGTTGGGTCCTCCGTCCTCCATGGTCTTCAACTTCGTACTTTATTTGGCTGTTTTTACTCTTTTTTAAGAGCATCACTGATGAGTCTTGTGTAGAACAAACGCGCGTCTGGCGTACAAAATTTGAATCCTGGTATCTATGATGAGTTTTTTTTTACATGATTGGAGCAATTAGTTTAAGTTTGCGTCTAATGAAGACTGGACTTACCCAGTAGATTTTGTTTCGTGTCACTCTTGCTTGTATGTATTATGGTCCGAGTACACAGTTATTTCGTAGTGCATTTCTTTTAGACAATAAATGAAAATAACAAAAATCCCAGCTGCGCTTTCTCAATAATATTTTTACAGTATGTTGTACTACTTTTGGGACAAATTATATCAAAATTAGAGAAAACTTCATCGGCTCTAACTCAAAATATGGACAATTTTATGTTAAGGGGGTCTTGAAATCTTTTGACAGCTCCCAAAGTGCTAATTTTTAACCTTTTTCAGCTGGACCAAATCACTACCTTACTTTAAAATTCATGACCCAAATTATTTTACAGTGTAATTTCACCCCCCTACTTGCTATTTGAGGCATAAAACATGAAGAAATACATTTGGAAGAGGTATAAAAAAAATGGCAAGTAACACACTGTCCACACTAGGGACTATATTTGTGAACAACGAAAACTCAAGAGACGATTACTGTGTTCCCGGACCTAATAGACTCTTTATGCATTAATCAATAAAAAGTAAATTGTATAAATAATACTTGTATGCAAGAGCATTTTGAAAAAAAATCAGGAGATACTAAGGGCGCAACAAAATTGATATGTTGCGGAAGGACAGAAAACACCATGGCCAAATGAAGAAAATACAACAAAAAAAAAAAAAAGACGAACAGCACACTACACACTTACAATTTACCCTGGAGTTCTGTATTTTTGTTATACATTTTTCTGCTAAAATTGGGGTAAAGATTGGTACTGATAATAGTGAAGTGAAATAACGGGTTTTTTTTATCATAGATTTTTACTTTCAGTACAAAATGAAATTTGATTTTTCAATCTATTCAATTGATAAATGATAACTTTACGCATATACTAGTATAAAAGAGAAAAAGTTTGAAATTATATGGAATTTATGACCATTGATTATTTCATGATCATAGCGCATCGAGTTATAATTCAGTAAATAATACGTATAACCATCTTGTATTTCTATCTACAGATACTAGTATATACGGTGATGAAAAGTTTAACTTCTTCACCACTGCTGGTATGTATTTCCCTCTACAGATTCACGAATCCAACTGTGTTATGATTTCACTCGCCTTAATTTCTACTTCTGCCAGTTTTTTGTTAATCTTGGGGAATATCTCTAAACGATACATGTTTAACTCAAATATGCTGTTCGAAAACATTAGATATAATTATTTTCGCCTAACATTTTAGTTTTCAAACGGATAAAGAATAGCAAAACAAACTACCTTTTATCTTTGACAATTTTCGTCACCTGTTTTTCGTGGTAATGTGATACAATTAAACCTTATCTTTAAACTATGCATGGAGTGTTTTAGCAACATACAAGGATTACTCTTATATAATGTGTGTTCAATTCAAAATTAAATTGCTCTAGGCTTTTTTTTTCTAACATTTTTTTTATTTTGAAATATTGAATGATTACAGATACCTAATAAACTGATTCCTTCCTACTTAAAAATAAAACGTAAGTTGGTACACTCTACGCCAATACTGTCAATACATAAGGAATTTAAGCTCATACAAAGCAAAATGAAAGGAATAGAAAGCCAGAAAAGAGCATAATGTCAAATTTGCCTAGTGCAATCTTCATTTGTCTACGCTTCCTTAAGATTTAAGAAAAGATCATCGATTCGTTGTAAAATTATAAAGAACACTACAAGATACAACTCGACAGTTGTTTTAACACTCAATAAGGTATTATAAGACCATGTTCTTGCCTTTTAAATACGAAAACGATAAATTATTATAAATCCATCATATACTATTCTTAGATATTCACAAGTCATTAATAAATCTATCAAATTTCAGTATGTTTATGAATTTGTCTCGTATATTTGCTTAAGGGTACCAAATTTCTTTGATCAAATGAAAAAAACTATAAAAAAAAAATATTAAAATGTCTATGTTCAGACCTTGTCATTATTATTTGCATATGAGCCATTGCTCTGCCCCAAAAAAATCTTTAGCTGCAAAATATCGGATAGAATCTCGTAGCTGTTCATCATTTTAAATATCTTTTTGGTGTAATACTGCACATGTGGCTCATATTTAAGTCCACCAAAAACTATGTGTAAACCTTTCCATATAATATATTTCTATAGTATCCCTTTATCAGTAAAGTTAGAGTTACTTTGAAAGGATTTGTTTTGTTTTGTTATTTTTTTTAGTATTTTTGGATGTTAAGATCAAATAATGGCTTTTCAGACTTCTTATTTTTCAAAAGAAGTTTATAAATTCTTCAAATATCATAATTATTTTATTATCATCATTATAAAGACGGGATATTTTATTGATGTTTGATTTATTTGTTTGGATGGCCGTGGTTTTCTATGTACATTTAAAAAAAAACAAATTTAATTTTATGAATATTCATTAAATACTGGAAATTAATTCAAGCACTTCCAAGTATTCTTGATTTCTATGTTTAAGGTGGAGCTGCACTGTCTCTGGTTTGTTTAATTTTACTAGTTGCAGTATTGTGTCACCTAGTAAATGTGAAGAAGAGGTAAGAGTATTTGAAATAGCAGTCACAGTCTATGTGAAATTTCTTCAACTTCTTACTTTATTTGGCCTTTCTTACTATTTTTTTATTCGAGCATCACTGATGAGTCTTTTGTAGATGACACGCGCGTCTGGCGTACAAAATTTAAAGCTTGGTATCCATGATGAGTTTATTCTTTCCACTTAGTCGTTTTTGGAACGACATATCTCGGAAAGATATGAATTTTTTATGTAATATCTTTAAATTTTTTCTTGTCAACTTTAAAACCTTACTTTATCTTATTCAAATTTAATACACCTCTATATAATTTAGATATAAATAAAAAGATGTGGTATTAGTGCCAATGAGACAACTATCCATCCAAGTCACAATGTGTAAAAAGTAAACCATTATAGGTCAAAGTACGGCTTTCAACACGGAGCCTTGGCTCACACCATACAGCAAGCTATAAAGGGCCCCAAAAAAGACTAGTGAAAAACAATTCAAACAGGAAAACCAACGGTCTAATCTATATAAAAACGAGAAAAGAGAAACACTTATGAACCACACCAACAAACGACAACCTCTGAACAACAGGCTCCTGACTTAGGACAGGTGCATAAAAATGCAGCAGGTTTAAACGTTTTAACAGGCGCCAACCGTCACTCTAACCTGAAACAGTGGTATAACATTACAACATAAAAAGACACACAATAAACTATCAATTGAAATGGCTTAACTCGATCAAAAGGACAATACACAAAAACAAGTATATATACACTGAACGAATAAGTTTGATCTATGACACAATATAAATAACAAAGATGTTTCAATGTCAAAAAGACAACTTTAACCTAGGACAAAATGGCGTTAAATAAAGTAACGAACAAGGTAAATTTAAATATAATAATTTTGTTGTTAGGAGTATAGAAACATTTTTTTACAAAATACATTTGTTGTTCAAGTCTTCATTGCCACAGACTAAGAGATAATATAATATATATATTTTAACATTGTTGTGCTGATATTTAGAGTAATTATATATATATATAGATTCCTAACATCACTGAAGACACATTAATTGTCGAAATCCGGATATGGTGTACCAATTGTTGCACCTTATGTTTGGGGTATACTATCTTTTCCGCAAGTGTATTGTTTTCTGTTTGGCATTAAATTATTAATCAAGATCCATTTTGTTACATCTGGTGATCCGTTTATTTGGCAATCGCCATGGCAGTCAACAGGGTTTAAGAACATCTGTTTTTTCGACCTGCTAGTCAAATGCGTTTTGTTAAAATATACTTTTTCACTTTTTTGGTCTTTTGTTGGAAAATGTTGCTTGTGTTGTATTTAGCCCCCTCTACCAAGAAAGTTGTTTTGCATGCACACGTATAAAAATTGTGGTTTTTATCCAACGCAATCATAGGTTTGAACGTCGTTTTCAAGTTAGACTCGTTTATATTTTTTCGTTTGGGCTTGTATTATATTTGCCTTCGGGTTTATATAATCCGTTTATCCTATTTCGACTCTTCAAAATTTAAGAGTCAATCCTAAATTGAGGTAAATTATATGGCCTTCTAAATACCGTTTCGATCCCTAACATCACTGAAGAGACATTAATTATCGAAATCCGGATATGGTGTACCAATTTTTGCACATTATGTTTGCGGTATACCATCTTTTCCGCAAGTTTATTGTTTTTTGTTTGGTTTTAAATTAATAATCAAGATCCTTTTTGTTACATCTGGTGATCCGTTTATTTGGCAATCGCCATGGCAGTCAGCAGGGTTTAGGAACATCTGGTGTTCGACCTGCTAGTCAAATGCGTTTTGTTAAAATATACTTTTTCACTTGTTTGGTCTATTGGAAAATGTTGTTTGTGATGCATTTAGACACCTTTACCAAGAAATTTGTTTTGCATGCACAAGTATAAAAATTGCGGTTTTTATCCAACACAATCATAGGTTTGAACGTTGTTTTCAATTTAGACTCGTATATATACATATTACCTAACAATGTAATTTTAACACACTATTTAGTATGTAAATATTAAAATGTTAAAAATATTTACAATGCGATAAAAATAAACGCAATATTTCGCTAGACAAACTAGCTTCATCGATCGTGCATCTATCCAGGTGAAATCGGATGCGGATAAGAAACTTTTGCAGCTCATTGCACATGAATTTTGTTACCTTGTAAATAATTTAAAGTTTGGATGAAGTTCTAGATTATTTATTCAATTACGAAATGAATATGCATCCGATTTCACCTGGATAGATGCACGCTCGATGTACTAGTTTGTCTAACGAAATATTGCGTTTATTTCTTATCGCATTGTAAATATTTTTAACATTTTAATATTTACATACTAAATAGTGTGTTGAAATTACATTGTTAGGAAATTTATAATTTCATTTGTGTAAATGTATTAATCTTTGTACTGATTAATCCAGACTCAAATAAATTTGTATGTTATGTTAAATTCCTACGAAAAGGTAACACTTCCCGAAACGAAAACTGATTTCTATCAGATATAGTTAGAAGTGGGCGTCTGCGCAATGCTAGGCGGTGTTGTCGTAGAAGTGAAAAAAGTACAGGTTCGAGCCCCGCTTTGGGAGGAAGTAAAGAATCAAATCTACTCTAACATTGTTAGGTTGATTTTCTAGGCACCTTATAAATATTCTAACGCCTGGTATTTCTTAACAATAAGAAATCCGATGGACAAGGTATAATTTGCAGTTGTCACTACACATAGGCAGACATATATATATATATATATATATATATTGAGGTTGATTTTCTAGGCACTTTATATATATGTGTGTGTGTATAAATATAAGAATCAGATCTACCCTAGCATTGTTAGGTTGATTTTCTAGGCACTTTATATATATGTGTGTGTGTATAAATATAAGAATCAGATCTACCCTAGCATTGTTAGGTTGATTTTCTAGGCACTTTAAATAAATATTCTAATGCCTGCTATTTCTTATAATATATGTGTGTGTATATATTATATACTAAAATATTCAACTTTATAATTAATTTTTTTTTATGACAAACCAAGTGCAAATCATTATACAACGTAATCATGGTAATCTTCCTAGTTTCCCCTTACATATCTATCAATGCATTGAATAAGCCCTTGAGTCTAACAGTCGATTTTATCTCAATAAACGTAGATATTCCGGAAGTCGTCCTCAAAGCTTAATAGATAGTTTATAAATAGAATATAGAATCTACTTTTTATATTTCACATATTTGTGTGTATATAAACTCATCATAAATACCAGGATTACAATTGTGTACGACAGACGCGGGTTTTGTCTACAAAAGACTCATCAGTGACGCACCAATCAGAAAAGTTTAAAAAGAAAGGCCAAATTAAGTACGAATTTGAAGAGCATTGAGGACCAAAAATTACGAAAGGTTTGCCAAATACGGCTTGTAGTGGTAATCTATTTCTGTTGTAGAAAATCTTTAGTATTTTGAAAAATACAAAGTCTTGTAAACAGTTAATTTACAGTTCTGACCATGCATATAATCAGTGATAATTTATTTCTTAAATGCGTCTATTGACCGCCACTACAATTTGACAATGATAATATATTAGTTCAGTTGGTTTTTACTAGTACGTATTATGGCCATTCGAAAACATCTGAACCAGTCAAATTACGATGCTATGTTGCCATTGAAATTGGTATATTAGCCTGGAAAATAGAAAACATCACTAAAGATCGCGGTAAAAAGAACAAATACCCTAGTTACATTGATATTGTCCACTCAGTTACAACCTTCAAATCACCAGTTGTTGTGTAGATTTTTATGATGCTACTGTCAATATCAAGCAACGCAGTATAATACCAATGTTACCTGAGAGGGGGCATCTCAAATATTTTAGGTAACTTACTTTATTTTTACACCTTCTGCAGGAAAAAATCAAATGCCCTTCAAAACCCCTACAATTATTTTATCTTTCTGAAACACAAAATGTTGTTTACTTTTACATATCTAGTGGATGATAGACCTTAAAACTTTTCCAACTGCACAGGTTTCTCTGTACTCTGAGTTAAATTTTAATTTTTAGCTGAAAACAGAAGCATTTTTATCCATTTGTTATGATGAACTTTAAGTTTGAAATATTTTGCAAATTTCATAATTCTCCATCAGATTTTGGTGTGAACAAGAGAGTGTAATAGAAAACATGTCAAGCATATTCTATTTTTACAACAGGCAGGCAGATAGTATTTTCTTATACCTCAAAAGAACTACCATGTTATGTAAAATCCAATTAAGAGGCCTTAAATGACCCAAAAAATAATTCAACATTCACATATTTTGAACAAGTATACATGAACATTTCAAGTTTTAGTATGGGTCAGAATATAGTGTTCTTTTGTACTTTTCCAATATCACAATAACAATAGAGTAACCTAAATTTTGGACAAGGTATAAATTGCATGAAGCCAAATTTATTTAATCCTATTGTTCGAATCTTACAATTATCAAGGCTATATATATATTTTATCGGCTAATATACAAATTTAAATGACAACAAAGTATTGTAGTTTGGCTGGTATCGATTTTTTTCAAATGGCCATAAATGGTTCTGACATTGATAATTTCTGCAGAAGTCATTCGATGTCTTTTTTACTTCTCATTTACTAGTAGTTCACACCGAATAAATATTACTTATGTTTTGGGATACACAGATTACCAGTCATATGTAGTGTTTTCGCAGTCTCGATCCTTTGATCTTTTTTTTTTTATGTTTTTGGGTTGTAGTATGTTACCATAATCGTGCAAGACAGTTTAAAAATACATAACTTGGGTTCTCCAAAATTTTTTGTTGTCTATTTGTAAATTATTGATCATCTTTCCCTTCTCTGAGTAACGGGTTTTTTTTGTAACATTTATATCTTGATGCTGAATCTGCCTTTAAGATTTTTCTATATTTGCAGGAAATATTTATAACCGGATATTAAGCAACAATATTTTTCTATTTATAATCAAAACACTTTAACCAAAACGGAGGCGGGAGATATCAAAAGACAATTATATTCATAACTCAAAGAGAAACTAACAATACCATGGCAAAAAGAGAAAAACGATGAAAAGACACTACATAAATAAAGGCAATAGTAGTATACTGCTGTTCAATAGTCATAAATCGATTTAACTGAATCAAATCTGGGTCACAAACCAAAACTGAGGTAAACACATCAACAATAAGAGGAAACAAAACGGAACAACAGAAACACTGAACTGCTACAAAAACAAACGCCAACATACATAGAAACGGACTATGTGATAAAACTTTATCAACTTTAGTTACTTAACGTGAAAAGTATGTGTGACATTGCGGGCAATGAAACACTATATAAAAATCGATATTTTAATATTATTTCGAAAAGTGTTCATACTAAAAGTGAAATAAGAAAATTACCGAACTCCAATGAAAATTCAAAACGGCCGGAAAGTCAAAAGCTGAAACACAAAAATGAATATTGCCCTTTAAATTAATAGAACATAAATATTAGTTTTGATGTTTGTGTGATATTACACTTGGTAATTTCTCTTCACAACTTACAATATTTTCAAGAAAGATTGAAAAAGAGAAAATACCAAAGTATATTTTTGAGAAAAAAGACAATTGTAAATGGTTAATTAATTATAATTTGTTTTCTTTTTCAAAGGTTAAGAAGATTGGAAACGCAATTGGCTAAAGACAAAAATGAAAGACAACAGCAGTCCATACTCAGTCCTCAGCCATCAATCATATCAAACGTACCAGAAGATGTCGAAGATATACCTCGTGTATCAAGACGTTCGGAGTATATACGTGTGATAAGGAATTTTAAAGATTTGAGAGATCGGGTGTCAAGAAGTTTTCCATTTTTTAATACTCCACGTAGCAGTGCAGATACATTCGACTTGTCTAAACAAGACGACCCTATTTACGATGACATAACGCAATATCGTCCAAAAGGACAGATACCCGAAAACCAGACACACTGGTGTTGTTGTTGTCGTTTGTCGTCTAATAATTATGCACAAACAAGCACATCAGATGCAAATTCACCGGAAACTAAACATGATGCACATCTAGACAAAAATGAAATAATCGATAACCCATCAGCCAAGGAAAGAGTAAATACAGAAGCAGAAATACACCACGATAACAGCGATACATTAACAAGGAAAAAAGATAACAGCGATACATTAACAAGAAAAAAAAAGAAGCAAAAAGAACAAGAATCTGACAATCATATTGAGGTCAAACACGTAGATTTTGATATACGAGAAATATGCATCCAGCCGACCACCACAGACGATGTTACAATAGGAGTAGCCCAGAAACCAGTCAAGCAAGTCAACAAAGAACAGCAACTCGTGTCATTTGGGAAAAAATCTACAATACCTTTCATGGGACAACAGAAACCTAAACTTGTGCCAAGGAAAGTCGATCCAGTTTCGGTACAAGGAGAGTGCAATACGTTTTCAAGTCATGGAACAAAAACAGTTCAAGGAATCAAACTGTCTTTTCCATTCCCAATTAAACAATCAAAATCTTTACCTGCATTGAACGAAGAACCAATAGATGAGTTTTCAGAAACGTCAACGGAGGATGAGAAGGAAAGAGACCCCAGTTATATTGATATGGGAGATACATTAATTACGAATCAATGACCATTTCTGGCACTTACTAGAAGTAGAAAACAATCTTCATTTAATTATATAGGACCGAATCATATCAAAGATATTAGTATTTATACTTTATGTCATGGTGGACGAATACCATGATTTACGTTATTTTACTGTCATATATTTAGCTGTTGATACTGTTGTTTTGCCGAACATATGATATAGATGCTATATTGAAACCGCATGCCCTTTTCGCATACTATGTATAATATATCGCGTTTGGCATACCTATATATATAGTGTCACATCCCTGTTTTGGAAAACTTTCTAAAATTATCGTGTTTAAACATATGATAATGTGAAAAATACATGGTATTTTTATTGCATGCTGTATCGCCCATCGATCGATATCAGCCATAAAGCCTTCAGTCCTCTGACTGATATTGATCTCCTGGATTGATACACGTGATTCAAAGTTAGCTTTATATTATTCTCTATTCATAGCATTGAAAGTACTGGCATAAATTATCAAATGTTTAATTTTACAGCATTTTTCCTCATCATCACGAGAAATTATTGCCAAACGAGAATGAACAAGGACATATGTTTCATTTCCTGCGGATGGACTCTTATATTTCATAGTGAAATGTTTTAATAGTTGTTTTGATTTCAGTTTGATAAGTTTTAATTGTCAAATCGGTCAGAACTTGCAATCAGTTGCACTTTTTTTTTCCAGTGAGTACCCCTTTAATGGGATAACCAGTGAGTCCAGAACAATAAAAATAAGTAACTTTCTTTGTGATTTCAGGGACATTAGCTGCTAATTCGTATCCATCGAATTGATTAAAACTTTCAAAATTTGATTAAATATGCTAAAACGTATATTTTAATTACGAAAATCACATAGGAAACCACCAACAACGCAAGAAATTGTAAAAAGTATCAAAATTTTGGGACTGATCGCCATTTCTAATTTACCATCGAAATGACCTTCGAAGATTTTCGATTGGTATGTGACCTCTATATAAATAAACATATATAGATATAATCATATAAATATATATAGCACGTTCAATATTATACTGATGATTTTTCTGCTCAACTTGCACACCAAAGATAACAAAAAACATAATGCACATTATCGTTTTACCTATAACCTGTTTAAGAATGATTTTTTGCGTGTCGAAACAGTCAACGAAATCTATCTTCCTGTTAGACCTTATTGTCACTTTATCAGCTGACATTCTTTTCAATAACTGAACATGCTGGGATCATTGCGCAATCATCTCCAACTGAGGTTAAATCAAAGGTTGCATACATATTGATCCGGATGAAGTCAATTATTGTCTTGCATGTCATTAATGTATCAGCGATGTTTTTTTGTGCTTATTTTGACGAAATTGGGCCAAAACATCTTGCGAATAGTGAATAATAGTCCGTTCTTGAAAATGTTTGAATACAAGAAAAGCAGGTTTTAATTAGTTCAACTTATATTTTCAAAATCGTAGCTAATATCCCTTTAAGGTAAAAAAAAGAGTAAATTAATAGTATGTTTACACCAGTAACTATTGTGATTAAAGTCATTTTGCAATCATCTTATCTGCTAAATTGTGGCATTTTGCACGAATATATATTGTCTGACTTTCAGTATTTATATCAGTACTGATGTGGTTTATAACATATTTTTCGTTTATACATTGATAAATTATTAAGAAACAGGTTCGAACTCCCTTGGGCAAAGTTGACCTTAGATGGATTTCATTTTGAACATTATTTTTGGGTCCTTTTTTTTTGTTATAACAGTTCTTCAAATGTTACGGTTCTCATACATCCTTGGCTTTCAAAATATTCAGGTTTTTAGCTTTTCTGGTGTAGGTAAATCCAGAAAAACGATTCGGGCCGATAAAATTTATATTATTTTTTGTATAACACTGTGTCGATACCGCTGCTGGTGGACTATGATTCCTTGAGGGTATCATCAGCTCACTAGTCAAGACTTCGGTACTGACATGATTTTTAACATAATTTTTCTAAACTGTCCGTTTATATATTGATAAATTATTAAGAAACTAAGGTTCCAACTCCCTCAGACAAAGTTGACCTTAGATGGACCTGTAGAAAACTGATTAAAAACGGTATTTCACATCCTAAATTGTACGGTAATATTGTACTTAAAGCGCGGAAATCACTATGTGATCCGTGTAAACTCATCGAACCTTTAAACAAACTTATTAGTAAAGGTTATCTTACCAATGTTGTAATTAGATCTTTGAATATAGTTTACATTGGCACTAATATCGATTTTGTCATCAGCAAATTAAAACATAACTAAATTTGTATTCTTTTCAAACGGGATGCATAAAGACACACCCACGTTCATTTTGATCTATAAAGAGGTAAACTCCTAACTATCCTACTGCCTGTCGATACATTTATTTTTGCCATTGCACAAGTCATGTCTTCTTTGACTGTCCATGACGTTAAAATACTAATTGATTTTAGTCTCTGCTGCATGATTTTTGATTATTAATTGTTTTTGGCTTTTAACTAGCTGTCAGTAACTGCGAGTACTCTCAAATCAAACTTTCTTGTTTATTTGACCTGTTGATACTTATTGTAATGCTTTTTTGTTATTTAATGTTATTCAGGGTTATATCTGGTCTATATACCAGCTTTGATAAGTGTTTGGTATTACTATAAATTTTCAGTTCGTACTATGAACATCAAAATTATTTATTTTGTAAAAAATATTTCCTTTCTCTATTTGAACTGTACACGTATAACTAACAACAAAATTATTTTCATTTACCTGTGTTTAAAGTAATTGCAAATGGTTGATACTTTTGTTCGAGCATATTGTTTTTCTTAAATTGTAAATGGCTGCATGATATTTTTGTTCGAGCATATTGTTTTTCTTAAATTGTTTAACATTTCACAGCGGTATAACATGTTACTTTTATTATTCTTCCCTTAGCTTATTTATTTTTTATTTACATTGTATCATAAATCAAATTTATTTGTTCAGTGTATGTTCACTAGTGTTAATATGTCCTTTGATTGAGTTAAGCCATTTTAGTTGATATTTTATAGTGTGTCTTTCTATGTTGTGATGTTACACTATTGTTTCAGATAAGAGTGAATGTTTGGTACCATTAAAACGTTTAAACCCGCTGTAATTGTTTGCACCTGTCCTAAAATAGGAATCTGATGTTCAGTAGTTGTCGTTTGCTGATGTGGTTCAAAAGTGTTTCTCGTTTCTCGTTTTTTATATAGATTAGACCGTTGGTTTTCCCGTTTGAATGGTTTTACACTAGTAATTTTTGGGGCCCTTTATAGCTTGCTGTGAGGTGTGATCCAAGGCTCCGTGTTGAAGACCGTACTTTGACCTATAATGGTTTACTTTTAAAAATTTTGACTTGGATGGAGAGTTGTCTCATTGGCACTCATACCACATCTTCTTATATCTATTGTCTATTATTTTTAGATCCTTTTTTATCATAAAGCTCTTCAACTGTTTCGGTTTTTATACATCATTGGCTTTCAAAATACCGGTATTCAGCTTTGAACATTCGTGGTGGAGGTAAATCGAGAAAAACGCTTCGGACGCATACAATTTATACAGTGTTATTTCAATGTTTTTTTTAGAAAAATACACTAAACGTTAATTGATTTTAAAAAATTGTTTGCCGTTAATGATAATTTATACACAGAAAATCATAAGTTATACCATTCTATATTTTTTCTGAGGTTCCTGGTGGTCCCTACTACGCATGATACATATCTGCAAATCTTTTAATTTTCAGCAAATGTTTTAATCCGCTGTATTAGTCTTTGTCATTGTTGGAAAAAAATAGAATGAAATTTTATTTCAAAATACATTCATCACTCCTATATTTTCTTTTACTAGGTTTTTTTTACGGTTAGAAGAAAATTACCATAGTATATAATTAATCCCGCATTTACCCATTTAAAATACATACTGGTTTTTACTAGAATGCTTTGTGATGAACCTAGATGTGTAATAGGGCCTTATGTCATGTGATATAGTAAAAATTCAATATGGAAGGGAACTGTTTTTTTCACCAGAATTTCGTTTTATTTGATCGAAAATTATGTTGCTTTTAAACAGTTAACCTTTTTCAACTGATTTTTATAGTTTGTTCCGTTATGTTATGCTGGTACACTACTGTCCCAGGTTAGGGAAGCGTTTATCCCCGTCACATTCTTTATGTGTCTGTCCCAAGTCAGGAGACTGTAGTTCAGTGGTTGTCGTTGGTTCATGTCTGTCATATTTGTTTAACGTAAATTGTTTTGTTATAAATTAGGCCGTTAGTTTTCTCAATTGAATTGTTTCATATTTTTCATGTCAAGGCCTTTTATAGCCGACTATACGGTATGAGTTTTTCTCATTGTTGAAGGCCGTACGGTTGCCTATAACTGCTTACATCCACTTCATTTTAACTGTGGTGGATAGTTGTCACATTCAGGGGCGGATCCAGGATTTTAGGTTAGGAAGGGCGCAAACTTAAATTTTCGACAAGTGGAGAGAGGCGAACATTTTTTTGAGGTAAAATTATCGAAATATTCTTTATTAAGCTGAGGACAACCCATGCTTTGCAAATTTTAGGGGGCGCACGCCCGCCACGCCCCGCCTGAAACCGCCCCTGTCATTGTCAATCATACCACATCTCTTTATATTTATAATGTAACACTAATGGTAATGTTTACTTTGTTCTTCGAGTGAGTTAACTTTTTTTTATTTTTAGAGGAGTGCATTAACTGAATAATTTTGAGTTATTGCACTGTCTTATCCCGTCTTTGACTCCTTCTCATAGTAAAAGCAAAGAATGGGAGGAGCTTAAACCAGTGCATTAACTTCCACCTCAGAAATTGTCATTGAACTGTATGACTCCGCCCCCCTTGGACAAGTAAATAATGAATAAAACGAAATATAATAACAATGACCATAACATTTGAGAATTAAAAAAACAAAACAAAAAAACACTACTGAGATTAAATAATTTCACAGTTGGTGAAAGCATTCTAAAAAATACTTCATTAAATGGTACAGAAATCATGCCATCTTACGCTGTAATATCGGCAGCTGTAGGCCTAATTACGATCCAATTTCAAACAGCAACTTCATTAATCATGATCAGTGTAGAAAAGAAGAGTACAGCGCTATAGTATGCAGTTGCTTATACATTCTTACACCAAGATTGTGTTGACTTTGTTATATGTGAAGCCTATAAAGGGCTTTTCTCCTTTTGGGTTCCCGATTTGTCGCTAATGGAATATCCGTTACACAGGTGACAACGGATATGTTCCAATTGTCGTAACTACAATCCCGTCCCCTTTTCCCCGAATGTGACCTACCGAATTAGACTTATCACCGTGTTGGTACTAAATGAGCAATACGACGGGTGTCATATGAGGAGCAGGATCTGCTTACCATTCCAAAGCACCTGAGATCACCCCCAGTTTTAGGTGGAGTTCGTGTTGCTCAGTCTTTAATTTTCTATGTTGTCTTTTTGTACTGTTGTTTGTTTGTCTTTTTTCTTTTTAGCCATGGCGTTGTCAGTTTATTTTCGACTTGTGAGTTTGAATGCCCCTTTTGGTATCCTTCGTCTCTCTTTTATGATACCCAGTTTATTTCAAATTCTAATCCATATAGAATTTTAACCTTAGCAGTGAGTTGTCAGCAAGGTTTTTTTTGTAGAACTACAATAATCATTTTGAATTACACCTCCACTCCGGGACCTTTTTCAAAAACTATTATCTGCTAGGACAACGTATACTTTTAAGACTGTAACGTGTTTTTTTGTTTTTTTTTTTCGTTTATTGCTTTCCTACAATATCCATTTTTTTAAAGCTATTATATATATATTCCTTAGAATATTGGCAGATTTAGCTTTTTGAAAGGGTAACAAAAACAATGATGGATCTTAGCTATGGTGGCAATATAGTAGGCTCTGCATGTGTCCATTTGTAATCATTCAGTGACTTTGTTGATTATTTACATCTTTTTTTATTATGTGTGTTTTTGAAGAAATGTTTAAGACGGACCATTCATACTTTGAACTCTGTTCTCATTAGAATTTGAGTGTATCATTTTCAAGAATATTAAGAGGCGTGATTGTTAGGTATCATTTAAGTTGAAAAATAAAGAGAGGATACCAAGAGGGCGATCGAAAATGACCAGTCCAATAAAAACACACAACGTCATGACCAAAAATAAAAACGACGAAGTAAAAACAACATTAGTTAGCAAACCCTTAGATAGATGCTAAAAACTGAGCAACACGAACCCAACAAAAACCGGGGTAAAGTTATCTGACTTCGTGATTCTTAAAGTAAGAAATACTCGGTATGCGATGTACACTCTCCTCCCTTGTACGTGCAATAATACGACAGATCGTGGTATTAAGGACTGTCACTTTGTTGCAAAGAACGGGATATATATATATATCTCATAAAATATTCAGTTTTATTTTCTCTTGTTATATAGATATAAGAAGACGTGGTATGAGTGCCAATGAGACAACTCTCCATCCAAGTCAAAATTTATAAAAGTAAACCATTATAGGCACAGTACGGTCTTCAACACGGAGCCTTGGCTCACACCGAACAGTAAGCTATAAAGGGCCCCAAAAATTACTAGTGTAAAACCATTCAAACGGGAAAACCAACGGTCTAATCTATATAAAAAACGAGAAACGAGAAACACTTATGAACAAAATCAACAAACGACAACTACTGAACATCAGATTCCTGACTTAGGACAGGTGCAAACAAATGCAGCGGGTTTAAACGTTTTAATGGTACCAAACCTTCACCCTTTTTCTGAAACAATAGTGTAACATCACAACATAGAATTATATATTACTGACTCTACAATGTATTTGCGTTTCAAAGATGGTCAGCAAGATAACCGTTCATTTTCATTTACCAATAACGTAATATTTATGTTTCTTGTAAATCAAAGTATTATAAAAATCACTTTTTTTTAAAAAAAAACGTCCGATTTCCATTCCTGGATTAACCTTCAGATAAACACTCAGAGCAAAAAATCTCATTGTTTGTTTTACACCTATGATACTCATCTCTTTTGTAGTATAACGTATATCATAAAGAGTTTATTTTTTATTTCCTAACCCTAGCGTTTGCATCAGATTCATCTGCTTCATATTCTCCTACGGCATGTATACCTGTCATCTCATTGCGGGGAAAGCACATTGTTCAAAAAAATATTAGTTGATTGGAATATCTTTCAATTCAATGAAGCAGTGAAAGGTAAGAAAAGAAAGGGGACATTTGTTAAAGTCATGGAGGAATCTTGCAAGATATTCGTTATTAAAGTTAATATCAGGGATATACGTTGAATCGATTTTCATATGGGAATGGCAATGAATGTGTTGAAGAAAAAAATCCCATATTTACATTGCTAAGATATTATGCGCCAAGAGAGTAACTTTCGTGGTTTGTCCGCAGTTTATAACAAAAATACATTCCAACATTTGTTAATCGGTAAGTAAATGTAGAAAAATTCCTGTATTGACCCATCAACAGTATTTTGACATAACAATTTAATAAGCTAAATAATACAAAATTTGGTGACTATGTTGAACGAATCTATCCCATCGAACTAGAGATAAAGGATGCTACAGATACAGTTAAGTCTGCCTCATATCTTGACTTACATCTAGAAATTGACAATGAGGGTCGGTTGAACACAAAACTTTACGACAAAAGAAATGATTTCAGCTTCCCAATTGTGAACTTTCCATTTCTATGTAGCACCATCCTAGTAGCATCACGAGTTGGTTGACCGTTATGGAATAACCGTTTCACAGATGATATCGGATATGTTCCTTATGTCGTTACTATAATACCCTTCCCTTTTCACGAATGTGACTTACCGAATTAGACTATTTACCGGATTTGTAATAACATAAGCAACACGACGGGTGCCACATGTGGAGCAGGATCTGCTTACCCTTCCGGAGCACCTGAGATCACCCCCAGTTTTTGGTGGGGTTCGTGTTGCTTAGTCTTTTCTATGTTGTGCCATCTGTACTATTATTTGTCTGTTTGTCTTTTTATTTTTGGCCATGGCGTTGTCTGTTTGTTTTCGATCTATGAGTTTGACTGTCCCTCTGGTATCTTTCGTC